TTGATCAGAGTCATGGTTAGCGAAGTCGGCGAGTCAAGCATATCAGCACAACGGAAAGACGGACAACAAGAAGCGCTATTGCACTCACCGACATTTCAGACGGGCGCGAAGGATCCACCACGATATGGTGCACAATACCGCCAGGATGCACTTTGGGAAGGTGAGCAGCTACCTTATGATACCCACCACTTACTCAATTAGTAGAAGCAGGCGGGAATGAAGCGCTCCCTCCTATGTGGCAACAGTTTAAAACGTCATCGGATGGTGAATCACGATATCAAGATGATACGCTCGTAATGGTCTCGTGGAACCGACCTTTACCAGGAGTGCGACTAGGTAGAGCGATGAAATTGTGACAGGGAACGACGAACTCACAGTTAACATAGATCATGCTGGAGATCTCGTTGTCCCCGGATGGGAATGGCACATCTCCCCACTCGGTCGGTCCTACTTCGTCAACCACAACACTCGGACCACGTCGTGGAAGAAACCAAAGCCAGAACGTCCGGCAGGAAGCTTGAAGCCAGAGTGCATCATCGAGGGTCGCTCCAAATGTATATGGAATCTTGCCTACTTGGGTACCGGCAATATAATGAGCACGTCTGAGGATGGTTCAATTTGTCAGTGGCAAAGAGATGGAGAGCCAGTGGGAAAACCTTTGAATAGCGATGGGGGAGGGATAGGTTCGATGGTGGTATCACCGGATGAAACGATGGTCATTTGTGGAAATGCAGATGGCAGACTGCGGCTGTGGAATATAGAGAAGGGTAGAATGATTGGTGACCCATGGGAGGGGCACGACGCTGCAGTGAGGAGCCTCGATTGGTCTCCCAGTTCCCTGGAGATAGCAAGTGGATCGGAAGACGGCACCATACGACGCTGGAACCCAGATACTGGGAGACAAATGACACCACCCATAGACACCAGTCACGGATGGGTGAATGCGGTCAAATACTCTCCACAAGGAGATAGATTCATGAGCGGTGGCACGGACATGATGATCTGCGTGTGGTCAAAGTATGGCCAGCTGTTTATCAAGATCAAGGGACACGACAGCGGAGTGACGTCATTGTGTTGGTCCGAGGACGGCACACACATCTTCTCTGCCTCAATTGATAACACCATCAGAAAATGGCGGGCGATTGATGGACAGGAACTCGTCGTTTTTTGGGGCCATACCCACTACGTCCATTCCCTCTGTCTTACTCCCAATCAAAACTATATTGTTAGCGGATCAAGTGACTACTCCATTCGCATCTGGGACCTCAAGACCAATCAGCCAGTCGGAGATCCACTCTTTCATGATGACGAACTCTGGGCTGTTGCCATGTCCCCCGATGGAAAATACATTGCCAGTACTGGACTAGACAAAAACATCTATGTATGGAACCTGGAGGAGGCGCTCAAAGTTGCGGTACGTGTGCTTTGGTTTTTCGATGTCCTTGTCTAAGAGTTTTGGTTGTTCAGGGTGCCGACGATGGGAATGCACAGCTGAATGCAAGTCTTCTCTGCTTCTCTTTCACACCACATCTCACCTCTTACTAGGGACGTCTAGCCCAACCGAGAGTTGTGTACCCACCAATCGTGAGCGATCTAACCTTTTCTCATATGTTTCACTAGATTCTTAATGTCCATCTGCATTTCAAACAACAGGCCAATACCAGAGGCTCGGCGAAATATGTCAGTAGAATTTTGTCTTTCAGCTCTTGCTCATCTAAATTTGAAATTTGATACAGGGTAGTAATTTCTTCGGCAACGAGTCAGACCACGCGTCTCGTCGTGCAGCTCCACCTGCAAGCCCATCGTCCCTTATTCGTTGGCATCGTTTACTCAGTTTTATACATTTCGGCACACCACCTGTAAATGCATCCCAACCAATTGAACGACAGTCCCGACACTGGAATTCCAACTTCAAGTTGTTTTCTGGAGGAAACACCAGCCACACCGTCGACGTACCTCTTGCTCAAGATGAAGATGTGAGTAACTCCCCTTTGCTCTTCTTTCATCTCATTAAATTACATCGCAGAGATATGGCATTGTCCATGAAACTGATGCGGAAGCGGCCGCAGCTATGCAACGCACAGATGGCAATGAGGCCGACAATTCACTGCAATCAGGTCAACCAGCTGGGGCACAAGCATCTCAAGTAGAACCAATCCAAACACAGACACAAGGCTCAACTGGTGGAGCGGAAGACTTTGTGTATGTAGGAGTAAGCTGCTGCGGAATTTTCTTTGGTTGTCGTCGTCCTGCTTCACATCAGTCATGAAAACATCTAGAAACTTTGCTACTCGAATATTATCTCTCTTCCCTTTCATCTGTATTTATACATTATGCGTCTTAGATATAGCTCGTTCTGTCGCACGTACATGCGCACGAAATTGATATATTTCTCTCAATAAGGGAAAGTGTGATTGAAGCAAGCATGAAGCTGTACCAGTGTGCCTGTGTAATCACCCAGCCGCTCCCAGGCATAGGAGATCGAATACAAACAGGGTGAGAGTGTGTAAAAGATACTAAAGGATAATATACCGTGGTTCTGCACCGGAGAGAAGCACAAGGACAAGTGCTACCCAACCCACCAGCACATATTGTACTTGTCCAGGTGAGCGCGAAGGATCCACCACATATGATGGTGGATGTAAACGAATGTAAACGAGTTCCTTGGGCGAGGTCGAACGTCCGCGATGGGATGTCGAGGGAAGCCTCCACCTGTAGGATCGAATCGGTGCCGCGCACATTGGTCGAGTAGGACTATATGACAAGGCATCCGATGCCATCTACGACACTTTTTTTTTGGCGTGGACGAAACCCCTTAATGGGCGTGTCCATGAATCGTACGTTTTCCTCGCAATGTAAAGGTTGAAGTCCATACCCATCAAAAACGCCTTTTCCATTTGTTTGATTTCAACCCACCCGATTCCAGAAACCTGAGACCAAGTCATATTGATGTACGTGTTGCTAGAATAATGATTGAGAATACAATGACATAGATAACTCTCGATGCATAATTATGGTTGCCAAGGAAGCCTACTTTGCACGGCACTTGCAGAAATATGTATAGAATCGGCAAGATCATTCGTCCCTTCAAAACATTGGATCAAATCCTTGACGCTACCACCGCTACTCCGTCTTGCCCGGTAATCACTTGTGAGGACGCGTTGGACAGGCTCTGGCGATATGTGACGGAGCTCCACGAGGCGTTTTGGCTTGTTCCTGCGCAGCTGTACATGCTTCTGTGGAGGTGTGGTATGGTGAAGATTTACAAAATCCTTGTGCGGTTTCTGCCGCTCCGAAAGTTTCCGCGCTGGTGTCGTAATGGGCTTGCGACGGTCTATGAGATCTGTGGGCGGAGGAGGTAAGGGAGGACAGTCGGGGTGGTCATCAGGTTTAACATATTCACGGTGAGGAAGAAATGATGCCCATGTCGGAAGCAGGCTGGAAAAAAACCCCGTCTTTTCTGCTAGATGATTTGGTGATACAATAGTCGGTTGAGGCCTAACTGAGTAAGATGATGTAGATATGGGAATATTCGTCGGGTCAATAGCACTGGTTTTGTCGAAGAGGTCACGGTACCGTGGTATGTGCGAGACCGGCGTAGATGTGAAATTCGCCAGCCTGGACACATCCGGGGACATGAAACTGGCAAAAGATAATGTTGAGAGATCGGCTCGCGCAGCCCGCTTTTTTATGAGCACATCCACTCTTGCTAGTAAGTTCTCCCTGAGTGTGTGTCAACTCAGCTGGCACAGCGAAAACTGTCAGGAAGTACAAACCAACTCCAGGGGGGACCCAGCCCCGTCACAACATCGTGACCTCCAGCAAGACATTGAAATCGCACCACCACCGCCTCTCTGTTCACATCCTTTGGCGAGGTGATAACTCCGTTGACATGGCACTCCTCAAAAAAACATTTATCCAAAAGTTTCCAGTCTTCACGCCTCCACTCGCCCGCCTTAGGCTTATAACAAGGTTGGACGCATGTTGCACTGGAAGAACGAGACGGTATCGAGCTGCGGCGTTTCCCGACGCCTGCGCTAGGGAACTTTGTGCGCGACTTGCGTGCAGCAGCGGGCCTGGAAGACGCCAATACGCAGTCGTAGTCATGCTGGATTGGTCAAAAAAACTTTAACTTGTAGAGATTGAAGAGAGATACTTACTAATTTCAAAATCGCAGCGGCTCTCGCTGCAGCATTTGGATCGCTCCCTGTAATGCATACTACATTGCTTTCGACGTCCACATCTGAATCTTCGCTCTCTTCTACCCTGATATGACGATCACTGGTTGACAGATCGCTGGATAGATCGTCGGAACCAGGTGGCACCTCCACAATATCCTCGAACACACTCTCAATATCCAATGCATCCAAGATATTTCCTTCCATGCCTTCATCCTCACTATCTGCAATTTCCATATCCTCTGGATCAGGCAAGCTCCTGTCTAGTCGTGCCTCGTACGGAAATGGGCTGACTGGCCGACCCCACTCCTTCATGCGGGCCTTTGTCCCACTCGTAGGTGGGTCCGCCTTCGTAGGTACTTGAAACATCTTGAAACGCCCTGTGTACTCTCCCTCGCCTTCTGATTCGGTGTCCGTCCACTCGGGTGATTGGGTGTCCCGAACGTCGGCATGTCTATGCGGTGACGAGCTTAAGAAAACAGGGGTCGATCTAGAACTAGTTGTTGACCCCAAACGTCTTGCACTCAACAGAAGCGGGTCTTCTGTTGGGCTGGGGGGTCTCATTGCACTCAAGTTGATCTCCGGTGGCTCCCTCTTGACACTGGTCTGCCTCGATCCATTCCTCCGCGGCGGACGTGATGGCTATTAATTCGTAAACAATCAAGTACTTATTACACTTCAAAACACTCACCGTCACACTCTTCTTTCTCGGACTCTTCAGCATCCGTCTAATAGTAAGTTTCACATTCGGCGCGGTCTCGAAATGGTTCGTCCAAGAACACTGTTTGCATCGCACGTGACTGTACCAAGTTCATTGATTACGTCATAATAGTAATACCAAACCAAATATATGCATACAGACTTGGTGCCACAGCTTCGAAATCGAAGAATTTGAGAAAAGACTGCCGAGTAACTAAGTAATATGACTGATGTCGCCTAGAGTAGAGTATGTCATCATGAAAATCATCAGTATCGTCAGAGGTCGTAAATTATCATCTAAGGGGTCATGAAAGACCGGATGCACATTGGAAAGCGAAACTGAAAGTGATCTCAGCGAAGACTATCGCGAGACAACACTTTCGCTCTGCCCTCTCGCTCGGCCACTGAAGTCTGCCGATTGCAACGAACGTTTCGCACCAAGTGACAGATCATCGTTTGCACGAGAAAAGAAGTCATCCTCGCCCTCGTACGGAGAAGTGCCCGAATTTATCTGTGTCACAACATTCGATAAGCCAAATGTTAGGTGGGGGAGACGGTGCCCCATGACTCACCCACTGCTTGAGAACATCTGCTACACGACTCGCTTCCTCGACGTTGAAGATCACATTGGTCCCCTTCTCGGCATGGAGCCGCATGAGCTCACTCAGCGACCTGTTTTTCCTACTTCTAATTGCCCCAGATGTGCTGCAGTTGTCCTGTGTCTCTTCGCCCGGAAACAGTACAGAATTTCGTGGTACTTGCGTCTGAGGTATGATAATATCACTTGAGCGGTCCCAGTCCTCATTCAGATTCAGAGAGAGGCTGCTCGTCGTGAAACTCTCCTTTGATGACATAGTTCAATTACAGTTCTTAGTAGTGGCAGGGTCGACGAAGTAGGAGAGGTGAAGGCCCTGGTATAAGACTATAATTGGACTATAAGTAACTTTATCCTTCTATTCCTTTTTGGGATAGCCTGTGACCCTGTGGGATGCGGAGTTGTCCGGCTTTCTATTGCTTTCTATCAACTTTATAGCGAAGTTACTTATAGCCTCATTGAAATCTCAGTCAAGGTCAATCCCTTCACTGCGTGTTGTCCAAAAATTCCGACGGCTTAGAGATGGCTGAGAATCTGGGGGTACCTAAGGTTTCAGCCACGTCGAAGCCATCAAATATCAGACAACTTCTAAGATGTCGGAAATTTGACCCTTTAAATTACCACTGGTGTCAACAATGGCTCGAACTTAGAGTCACTCTCACCTGCGTACTATCTACGTTTTAGCTACATCCACCTGGACTCGGTTGTACATAACCTGCAGCTAACATATATATACGAATTATGAATGAAGCTGTGCCGCACGGTAAGTGTTCAGATCAAGGTGCACGGAGTTTAAATTTACCTTGTTCTTGACGCTCGACAACTGTTGGGGATGACTGCTATATCATATTTCAATTCCACACCTGTTCTCACTTATCATGGTTAGAATAATGCGGTATCTGACTGGGAACCCGACTACACCGACGAGGGTGCTCTCCAACGAAGACTAGCAGTAAGACCTACCCACCTCGAGAATATCAAGATAAAAGCCTGCTTGCTGAGACTCTAACTACAGAACTCAAGCTCTTCAATCCACACTCGATCTCAACTACTTGTCACCCCGGCCCTTCGTCAGTAATTTGACTTTCCAGTTGTGAGTGTCCGTGAACTTGCTTTGCACAAAAATTTCACCCAACGTTTCGCAGCAACGACCTCGGCAAGGAGGTCGCGATCATGCTTGCCTGGAGTCCCAACCTGGACGGTCTCTATGAGGACTTCTTTCTGATAGTTTGGAGGTAAGTGCGTACTTCTGTTAGGGATTATTTAAACCCTTGCAATTGTTTCAGGGTCAGCAAATTCGGGAAGTCGGGTGGGTGTTCCTATTCTCTTGCTGCCAAGTTGCCGACTTACATATGAGCCCTCTTTCCAGGTCCATACTGGGCTACCGAAACTCATACAGCCCAGTAAGTAATGACAAGATCAATAGTCTTGAAAGTTGCTTATATCTTGTATAGGCTTGCCGCTTGCTTGCTCCAGAGCCCAGGTCGAGAGTGGGAAGGTCATCAGCGCCGCGACCTCCATCAATATCAATGTGAGCAACTCTCATCTACTCTGAAATTGCTAGCACCAACGCGAGCCATAATGCAGAACAGCAAGAAAACAACCTTGACAAAAGCCAACAACGTCTATCATTTCTCTGTAAGTCTGGCTTCCGTTGATTTTATCTTGACCCCCAATGAATACCTCGTGTAGCCTCTCCCTCGCCAGTGCGTGCGTGCATACATCTATGTAGCATATAGTCAGGCTGCCAGAGGTGTAGCGAGCGGGTGGCATCAGCATTGTATTTCCTATAGCTACCATGTATTCGCAATTTAAATGGAATATTAATGCATATTCACAATATTTAAAATCATTATTAAATAAAGTGTACACCATATGTGGTTTATTATATATATACGTATGGTGTCGTTTTGGACCCATGGTAGCAGCCGGCTCAAACTTGATGGCCAAACGATGTCTTCGAGGTGATTGAAATCCGGAAAATCAACCGTCTGGAAGCCGGTTCATACCATAGGTCCAGAAATGGCTAAAACTTGACCCTGGGGTCACATTCCAGCCAGGTATCTACCGTCGGAAATTTTTGACAACACGCAGTGCTTTCTGTTGGGATAAATGACGATCTCACTGAGCGCTGACGATCCTGGTACCTTATCATCCTCTTTTCCTTCAATCCCTGAGCAAACAAAGTACCAGTATCGATGTCATTCACACCGATAAAACCCAAACGCTTGCATCATTCATTATTTGCCATTGCGCCAATTTAAAAATGTCACAAATAGTTCTGGATGAAAATATAAGTCTATCTGGTAACCGGATTGAAGTGTTTTGTTGTAGCCTTGGATGGCCTAAGTATAGGAGATGTAATGAATATGATGAGCGGTTCACCGATGCGTGTAGGTCATAGTCTTCAAAATGGGTGATCCGGGCGGTGTATCGCGAAGGAAAAAAGGGAGCTTGCAAACTCAATATTGTTTTCGAGGTCTGTTAGGGTCTGTTGTCTATTATACCTTGTTTGCTCGGATTGCAGGAACCGAGGTACTTTCACTCGAACACACCTTAAATTAACGGGCTGTCCGTTCCTCACAATCTGCGCACCCCCGCCCCCGAGATTAAAATACACCATCATCGTAAGTACTGCGCTTTAAATTGATGATGGGTATCGAGTGACGATACCTTACAATTTGCTTCCTAACTCACCTCCACTACCAATCATGGCTCTAGAGCATGTTAGCTCCCAGCGACTGCATTCAGAAACGAAGGCAGATAACCCAATCAAAGTCGATGTTACCGACGACGTGGATTTTGTTGCTTATTACGAGCGGGCTTCTGGCCGTTTAGTAGTGGACCCCGAGTATGTGATTGTTGCTCCCATATATCCTAAGTCTATCATAACTCATTCGTGACTCACTAGACAGGCGAAGGTCGAGTTTGGGGAGGTAATGGCCTCTAGGCTCAAGCTTAGCCCTGATGGGTTGAAGGTTCTCTGGCCTTAACCCGCTGACGACCCGAACGACCCACAAAACGCTCGTTATTTCTCACTATCGTGTCCCTTTCACTAACACTAAGCTATTCATTTGTAGTGGACCGATTTTCGCAAGACTGTGCACCTGATCATTATCACAATGTCTGCAGTGGTACCTGACTTCGACTCTGGAATTGGTATGTATTTCACCCTCGCTCAATATCCATAGTAGTATCATCATGGAATACTTTTATTGGCAGGAATCGCGTCGATATTTGGCCTCGCTCAAACTTATGACACGACCTCGGGTGTCATCAACGATCTGACATCAAAGTGCGTGATGCGTCAATCGTTACTCACATTCAATGACAATTCCCTGAAGCTGGAGCATCTTCCTTCTGGGTGAGATCACACCATTACATGAGAATAGCCTCTTCTCATCTGTAGTCCAGGTTGGGGAGGCATCTTCTGGGTCATGCTCATGAGACGGTATGGTCGGTTGCCGGTACTCTTCTGGAGTCAGGTATATATTTCCAGTCATTTGGCTGATATGAACTCTGAAACTTGAGCGCAGCTTTTTTCGCTTGCATTCTTGGTTGGTGGCACATTGGCGCCGAATCTAGCCACCTTTGCAGGTATTTACACAATAATTCGGTATTTGTTGGACAATGTTAACTGCTGATGAAGGGATGCGATGTTTGACTGGATTCTTTGGGCAGGTCGTCATGTTATCCATGCTGCGGTAAACTGACTACGGTTTCAGAACGTGTCCCCAGGTGAATGTACGATTAGTGGCAATTCTCATGGTAGCTTCAACATTTACCAACCTCCAAGGGTCTTTATGTCGTGACGGATATCTTCCCCTTCCATCTTCAAGCACGGAAGCTGAACATCTGGACTTCGGGTTTCGTTCTGTCAGAAATGAATTCCTTTATTGGGAGAAACGTTTCTCACTATCTCATAGATCACCTTACCTATCACCATTTGTATTTGGCTTTCTTGTAGCGCGTGTGAGGTACGTCTTACATATGCTGTCCTTGATTCAGAATACTCATCAATTGTTGGATAGCTGGAGATGGGCCTATGCTATAGGATCTATTTACAGCGTCATCGTATTACTTCTCATTGTGTTTTTCATGGAAGAAACGTACGCTCTGTTATACTGTTTCTTAGGGCAGTGGCGTTGACTTTTGCTGAACTAGCATGTATGATCGTCACCTTGCATCGAAGCCACTGCAAATTTCTATGGGACTGCGATATCGATTTGAAACTTTGATAGGCGTCACTGGGTACAAGATGGCAAAATACAGACCACGATGGCCGGAAGTTCTATTGGCATCTTTGGATGTCGCTTGGCGTCCTCAGTTTTTCTTCGTAGTTCTCTTTGAGGTGAGACGAATTGCGTTGCTGACCATACTGAGTACATTTGCTGACCTTTTCGAAAGGCATTGGTCTTCGGGTTCTCGATCGGTGTGAATGTGAGCGTTTCCGTTTCGACCTGCAGTGATAAACCTATCGACTTTTGTAGACGACAAATGTTGTTTTCATGGGATCTCCTCCCATCGGATTTGGCTTTAGCCAATATGCCGTGGCTGGAGCGTATGCGACTCCAATTGCAAGTTTTTTCCATCTATGAAGTATGCATGATTAATGTTCTCAGCATAAAAATTTTAGGTCGCCGTCCTTCTTGGCGAGTTCATTGGACGTTACTTCAATGAATTCATTATGGATCTGCATATTCGCAAAAATGGTGGTTTCTTTGAGGCCGAGAGCCGCTTGTGGTATGCAAACTCAACTGATGGTCTAAGGTTAGAGCTGAGAATTTGTGTAGGACCTGTTATTTAGCCATGCCGCTTTATATCTGTGGCTTTTTGACGCAGGGCGCTGGCATACAAAATCTCAGCGAAGCCGCTCTCATCATGGGCTGGGGCATTGCGATCGTTGTGATCACCCTCAACACTGTTGCAGTGTGTAAGTCTTGGGTCCAATATTTCAAGTGTCGTGGGATAACTCAAGGAGTATTATTAGACGCATATTGCAATGACTGCTTCCCTCGTAGGGCAGTGAGTGACGCATATGTACTTCTTTGCATTTCAGTGATATGACCTCCCCTTCTAGGGCGAAGTCAGCGCCCTGTTAAACCTTGCAAGAGCATTGGGCGGTGAGTTACAATGATGCATAATTTGTCCAACGTTCACGATTGCGGGCTAGGTTTCGCAGTCGCATATTTCCAAGTCCCATGGGCTACAAAATCTGGAGGATTGATGGTGTTTGGTGTTGAAGCAGCGCAAGTGATATCGCTTGACACACTCGAAGAGTCTGACAGTTTTCATAGGCTTGTGATTGGCATGTTCTTCGTCGCCGTTCCTATGACACAACTGAAGGGAAGCTACTTCCGAGTAAGTGCGGTTCTTTTGATTTGTGGCCCAGCATTGAATCTGTACATCAAATATTAGGCACGTTATGCCTTATGATTGGCATTGACAGCTTCTCGATTTCAGAACCAGAAGAATCATTTAGAGTCAGACATGTATGCTTCCTGGTTACTTTCAACTTTGTTGTACAAATAAAAAAATTGTCCGGAGCAAGGTCATAAGTTCGCAATTATCGTACCCCTCTGCTCTGCCCCACCCAACAGTATATTTGTCATTGATATCCGGAACGGTTAACCGGGTTCCAGCGTCTAACTTCTACCAACTTTCCGACTCAGCCTCTGTCGTATGTTGTGAGCTGTCATGCTTGCGCACGGTGTCCCTAGGGAGTCCCATATATTTCCACCATCCAGGCACCATACTGGCCTTATTGGCCCACATGTACATGACAAGACAATGGACGTCGACACCTATGCATCCAAACATCAAAGACTTCTACAGTCCTGCGGACAAGAACAGCCCTCAATTGCATCCATCATCAATGTCTCTGGTCGTGATAGAGGATCCAAATTATATGTAGCGCCAAAAGGTAACAAGGTACATTTTTTGGCATATTCACTGCATTGTACACCACTCACTATATTCAGGACTCTTGTGGACAACCTCAGGTCGACCTGTCTAGTTATCGTACAACTATGACCCATTCCAAAAATGCTCCACCACACCCTTATGTGATTCCGCCTCGATTTCAGAAGCAGTATGCAGCACCGTGAGTCAGGCTGTTACCCCTCTTTGAAAGTGCCTTTATTCACATTGGCATCCAATCGAGTGCTTCACATCCGCAACCTCCCACTGAACCTCATCTTCACATCGATCAGGTACGATTCAAGTATTCCTTTGTATGAACGAACTAATCGGTCCTTATTAAGCATAAATCACAAACACTACCAACTCCCACAGAACCAATGTCTCATCATGACACCCAACCGCTGGGAGTTGAACTGGGTAGCCATATGCAAACATTGAATACACCATCTGAACCACCTAAGCGACCCCCGGATTTGCAGTCGCCTGCTGGTCGAGGTGTCGCATTACCTATACCGTCAATTAACGTCAGCCTTCCTCCACCTTCCAAGGCAAAGGTAGTAGTCAATCTCCTTGGGCTGACTGGATAGTTGATTTAGTCAATGATATTGCAGAAATGGGCTCGTAAAGAACGATCATCTGGACCTGAGTGCTCGGTTGCAGAACTTGAAGCTGTAACAATCAAACCAGAAACCCCCGAACCTTCAATTTCGTCAAGTAGCGTCAAGCTACCATCCGTTCGGGAGAGATCACGATCGTCGAGCCCGAAACCTTCAATCGGAGAATCGACTGCTCCAACATCATCAAATTTGGCTAAGGTGAGCAGCAGTTTACTTATCTCCAGTTCTGATAGTCATATTGATATGCTCGGCTAGCAGGATACGAGAGATTCATCAACTTCGGGCAAGGATGAGATGTGCAGGGATTGGCTTGCTGGTGTCTGTACCCGCACGCGGTGCTCCCGTGCTCATAAACGAATACCGAGTAATCTCACTTGTCACCGTTGGCTTCGTGGGGAGTGTAGTCGGTCGTCGTGTCTTTTCATGCACGAGCATCAGGCAAGTCCGACACACTATGATTTGAGCGTGATGATGACCTACGGCTAAGAGTTCCGATGGTTCCGTCAGGAATCAACCACCTGTTCAAAACAGCGATCCTTGAGACTTCGAAATATGCCCTCTACTGCAAGCCAACTGGAACCAAATCTAAGAGCACTTCGAGTGAGACTTCACACGAATACCACCTATTCAGTCCTTTTTTTTTTTTTTTTTAATATTTATTGCGGCTTGGTTCAGTACTGGCTTTTGATGGTCCTCACAGCCGTGGTGCCGGCATTTGGCTGCCCCGAGATCGGCTATGATGCAAGTGATCAGCCCAGGACGGTTCATTGGAACAGGTAGAGTGAAGAGAAACTTGGAGCGCCGCAACGACTTACCTTGCTCGTCTCATTGATCGATCGTATCCCGGTGGACGGTCCACTATGACCGGATTGAGCTTCCATTGGTGAATTCGCTTCCAAGTTTCCATGTACATCGTCCTTTGATGTTACCATGTCCTAGTAATTGTAATAAGTAGGCGCTTCCAATACAAAACAGCTAGTACTGGTAGATAACTCGTGAGGCTTTTTATGTAAAAGAGATCCGGGTGGCATGAAATTTGTATGGTGTGTAAATTTGAGTTCCGAGTCGTGCATCTTAAGCCGCCGTATCACAGTCTCTGCCGCAGGCTCGCCAGTGCTAGTGCTCGGTTGAACTCCATGTTGGCCAACATCCTGCGGTGTTGTCCTCGTTCCATCGGATAAAATTAGTGATACCCAGACAATTCGCGTTATAAGTCCATTCTTCATTGTATCGCCGGCGACTACTACTGCTACTTGTCATAGTCGACGTCAAGCTGTAGAAACCAGCCAAGATCACTCCCTCTTTGCGATACCCTTCTGGCTTTCTAATTCAAGTATCCGTCACAAGTGTGTGTGTATAGATCTAGTACGCTCCTTCGTCCTTGTAACTGAAATCTGAACTTACTGTCATACTATCTGCCAAAGGCCCGTCACGGTCATGGCTCAACCAGGAGGACGCTGGCACCCCAATCCGCAACTTATGCAGCATTCTATTTCGCTGGCAAGGCACCTGGCCCCCACCAGCTGGCGTTGCTCTTCCTCCAAACTTTCCTGGTCCACCACCCATGCCGCCTGGCACCAACACTCACCCACATTGGAAGGCTGGCTTTTGGCAGTACAACCCTGCCTACAACATGAATGGCGCAGGTTCCGGTGTTCACTGGGCACCCGGAATGGGGTGGGCTCAGAATGTCCCTGCCAACTTTAATCCTTACAAGCGCGTACCCCGTCCTGCAAGCCCGAGCTACTGGAGGACACAGCTCTCCGACAATGGTCTTGGTTTGGAGAATATGGTCCCTGCAAGGTGCTTGCGTGATTTGGCCTCCAAACTACGTTCCCGAGATGCAAGGCGTGGCATATGCACGCTCAAGACCACTCCCCTTCCGAATCTAACATACGCGTGTCTGAACTGGGTACAGTAGCGCTCCTCCTTTCAGAGTCAAAATTCACCACCGTGACCCTCACTCGTGCATTTGGATCCAGCGTTCCCTTTCTACTCATGCATCTCCCTCCACCTCCGCCAATCTCTTCAGATTCATCCGTTGAAACTACCTTTGGAGAAGTTGGCTCTGCTTTCTGGAATGCCGCTCTCGGTGGTGCGCAAGGTCGTCTTCGAGGAGAACTTGATGTTCGATGGGAACGTGACTCGGGAGGTGGTGTGCGGCCTGGGTTGTGGTATCGTGACAAAAGAGTGCAGAACTGGACACTGGATGCACATAGGAGTGTATTCACGCTTCCGAGGATATTAATCGGTGACTAGGATGGTTATCCATCTATCGATGACCCGACTCGGGAGTTGAGTGTCACGCTACCATTGTATATATGCATACCACGTATTCCTCTCTACTTTTGTCACACTTCCTGAAGACGCCGACTGGGCTGTAACTGCGTTTGCATGTTCATTTCTTTAGCGCTCGCCGACAGATTTGGTGCAAGTGGTGGTATGTAAGACGGAACAAACCGAGGTTCATCACAGGCGTTCTAAACAAGGTACCTGCACCCACAGCATGTAAATTTGAGCGTTTAACAAGTCCATTCATGACCTCCATCATATCTTCTCCTCGATTCTTATTTTGCGCATTATTTCAAGGTTTACTATCTACCTCTCTGTGAAGCACGCCGTTCTCAATCAGGGTTATGCCCCACGAAGAGGCTAAGTCAAGCACGTCAGCCGAAGGAAGAGAAGCGCCGTCAAGCTCGTCAGCACATATTATACCTCTAGTGGGAGAGAAGGATCCACCGCCATACGGTGCACAGCATCGGCAGAATGCTCTTTGGAAAGGTGAGCAAACCGTATCAGGATGGCCACTGACTTACTAAACAAGAAGCAGGCGGGAATGAAGCGCTCCCTCCTGAATGGCAAGTGTTTAAGGTGTTCGATGGTTCAACGCAATATCAAGACGACACGATCATCATGTCTTCTTCCAACCGACCTTTACCAGGAGTGCGTCTAGGTGAGCGAAGAACGTCCCACTGGGAGCGAGGAACTCACGACAAAGCATAGATCGTCCTGGAGCTCTTGCTGTTAGTGGATGCGAATGGCACATCTCACCACTCGGTCGGTCCTACTATGTCAACCACAACACTCGGACCACGTCCTGGAAGAAATCGACGTTAGAACGGCCGGCCGGGAGCTTAATGCCGGAGTGCATCATCGAGGGTCACTCCCGCTGCATATGGAGTCTTGCCTGCATGGGCACCAGTTCCAATGTACTGAGTGTGTCGGACGACTGTTCGATTCGCCAGTGGAGAATAGCCGGAGACTCAGTTAGAAAACCTTTGGATAGCCTTTCTCCGACAGGCTCTATGGCTGTATCTCCAGATGAAATTATGGTTGTGAGCGGAAGTGCAGACGGCAGACTACGGCTGTGGAACATAAAAAAAGGTAGTATGGTTGGCGATCCGTGGGAGGGCCACAATGACCTGGTGAGGTGCCTCGATTGGTCCCCCAATGCGCTGGAGATAGCAAGTGGATCGACCGACGGCACCATACGACGCTGGAACCCAGATACTGGCCAACCAATTGCACCACCGATAAAGACCGGTCACGGTTGGGTCTATACTGTCAAATACTCTCCACAAGGTGACAAATTCACGAGCGGCGGGGAGGACAGCATTATTCGTGTGTGGTCAAAGAACGGCGAGCTGCTCATCGAGATCAAAGGACATGATAGCGATGTGACGTCGTTGTGTTGGTCCAAGGACGGAGCATACGTTTTCTCTGCGTCGCATGATCGCACCATCCGAAAATGGCGGTCGATTGGTGGGAAGGAGCTCGTTGTTTTTAAGGGTCATGACAATATCGTCAACTCTCTCTGTCTTTCCCCTGATCAAAGCCATCTTGTCAGTGCATCAGGCGACTCCTCGGTTCGCATCTGGGACCTCAAGACCAATCAGCCAGTCGGAGACCCACTCTTGCATGACGACGACCTCTTGACTGTTGTCATGTCTCCCGATGGAAAATACATCGCCAGTGCTGGATTAGATGCAAAGGCCTATATATGGAGTGTGGAAGCAGCGCTCAAAAGATGTTCAATCCGACTGCGGGATGTGCGCTAATCAGTTGTGAACTCTATCTTTTGCTGATTTGTGTTGTTAGACCTTTCCCTCACATCCAATCGTCTCCAAACAGCTCACTAATAGAGGCGTGGGGAGATATGTTAGCATCATTTTTCGATTCTCAGCTTTAGCTAACATTCCTCTGATACAGGGCAATGATTTCTTTGATAGCGATGCAAACCATGGGCCAGCTCCGCCTGCAAGCGCATCGTCTCTCCTTCGTCGCTTGTTCAGTTCCCCACATGTCGGCACGCGACCTCCAAATTCGCTTGAATCAATGCCACGCGAGCCCCGACGTTGGAATTCCAACTTATTTAGAGGAGGAAGCTCTATACGTACCGTTGAAGTAGCTGCCGGTCGGAAGAAAAGTGTGAGTGACCTCCATTGCTCCTTTTTGATATCATGGAACTTAATAGATTGGCAGAGAATTTATGTTTCCCCTCCCAGCGCAGCAGAATTGGCCCGCGCACAAGCGGCTGCAGTAGCTGCGCAACATGCGAATGCCAACGAGACTGGCAGTTCGCTGCAAGCAGGTCAATCTCAAGCTGTGTCGGGCACACAATCGTCTCAAGGACGCCCGACGGACACGCAAGCAGGTCAATCTCAGGCTGTGCCAGGGACACAAGGGTCTCAAGGGCAAACAACAGGAACGCAAGGTGCAGGTGGTGGGATGGGAGATGTTTCTTATCAGGGATTGAGCTGCTGCGGATTTTTCTTTGGTCGTCGTCGTCCCACCTCGCATCAGTCATGAGGACATTTACTAAACTAGTTGTTTGTATGTTTATCTCTAGAAGTTGTGGGCTTTACAGACTGTTTCGCACCCAGCCATACACCTCGTGAGCGTTGTATTTTACTTGTCCGTGTAGATGAAAGCCATACAGTTTCTTATCACCGTTTTCAAATGAGTACATGCCTAACAGTACATCCCATACCTCGGACTCCACAAATGAATTGGAAGTTCGAGCGTTAACGAGAACATGAACACGAAAGGTAATGGTTTACGAGCAGACTTCATTGACTTGCTAGTCAGACAAAAGAACTCTAATTTAAGGAGGTTAGTGCTTGAATTTGACAGAATATCTGCGTGTGTGCCTGTCCAAATGAGAAACGAAGTCAAATTCAGTCCTACGTAGTGAGACCAGTTAATTGACTTGTTCACTTGCTTCGAGATATGCTCTCCACAGTACTGCAAGCCAACTGGAACGAAATTTCAAGTGAGATTTATATATATATCACCTATCTAGTCCCTACCATCCTTTATTCAGATCTCCAATTCAAGAGAAGAGTCCAACTCGGAGCGGTGGGTGCCCGCTAAATGCACAAAGAGTTAACTTCACTCGCAAGACCTCCCCCAGCTGCAAATGGTTATCGTCAATTGCTCGAATCTCTGAAAATCTCTCCGTCTTCTGCAAAGTTGCTCTTGGCTAGGTAGTTGGACTATCTGAGAATCCATCTGAGTGCATGGCATCGCCTACGTCCGTGCAGTTGCTCCAAGTTGTAGTGTGGAAGGATCCAGATGGTGATGATCACTGTCCCACGCAACGCCAAGTGCATACCCTGGAGAGGACGATTCGGCGCCCACTAGGATGGTGGCTGATTTGCCCATCACGCTCGGTTTTGGGAGTGAGTATACATATTCTTTCGAATGCCTCTTCAGTTGAGTGACCTGCCACCATCTTTCCAACTCAACAATGTGATCACCGTGTTAGCTGTGCGTGACTTGTACCCATGACTATGGTCGTGAAACTCATAGCTCGTGCGCATCTGTGTATGATTCAGACGGAACATGTGTGTTGTATATTTCTTATACAGTCACTCATGTTCTCAACATGAAAATTTGAGAACTCGTCCACTTTCTCATCATTTCCTGGAGGTGATGATTCTAATTCGTCCGATTGAGAATCAAAAGGCAAGATCATTTGATCAGTTGTAAGCGGTGGGGCTTGGAGTGGTGACATGGTGTATTTTGAAACCCGGTCGCAATCTTGCCAAGGTCTCCATGTACGATCTTAGATTGGCGACACGGAGCCAATTTGCTCCCCGCTCTCCACCCAGGCCTGGTCCTTTTACATTCTTGCAACGAGTCAGAAACTCGAGGAGTTCAGATAGATCCAGTAATCCGAAAGATCGAGTCAGTAGTCGTGAGAGTTTCATGGTGTACCGAGACAATAGACAGATCGCTTCTGCGGAGCCACAGGATATCATTACGATTCTGCAGAGTCAGTGTAATCTGACACTCGGTTGGTACGACTTAGCGTGGTGTATCATATTCCAGTAACAAAAATGACCTGGATAGTAGCATACTGAGTCATCAATGTGCCGCAGACACGCGTTGTCGACGCTATGGCGGTGAAGTGTTAAGCGCCATGGTCCGCGAAATGCTCATCAAGCCGTGCTCGTCGGTTTTCGGACCATCAAAATGTTATCGGAAGTTGGCTATAAAAAAGGAGCCAGTGACCATTTGCTTGCTTGTCCGCGACATCACGTAGACCAGTAATTCGTACCCAGGTCGAGTACAAGTCGAGCGTTCAGAAGTGCGGGATTGAGAATATCGTAGAGCAAGCGAGCGGGAAATGCCGTCTGAATCGGCGTCAAGTCGGGGTTACTGATCACTATTAGCGCTTGAATAAGGACCGTCATGATGCTGGCACCTCCATCCAGTCGTACTCTCGACAAAGGCTAGTTGAATGCTATACGCCGTCTTGGTGTCCCACATTGCAAATACCGCACACTTGTCCGGCACCGATTAGAAGGCGTCCTTTCAATCCCATCTGCTTCTCAAACTGATGGACAGGTTTCGCAGCGGGTCAGTGCAGGCAGAGATGAGAGCGATGCTAAGGATTTACATGCTGTGGCACTCTGCGCATTTGCTCCTGACCCTTATGATACTTCCCACTGGCATTGTTCTCGCAAACGGTAAGGGCACCTGCGGTTTCCATCGGATACAAGGGAGAGGACAGGTCGCATCAATCCTCGCACTTCCATCCTTTTTGGTTCACCACGATGGGAGGGAAGGAGGTCGATGGATGGTGAGATTCGCTGGCATATCGGTCCAATCTAGGTGCACCTCCAGCACACTTGGAATTAACTAGATCTATTGATTGTTTTGTTAGAAAATCTATGGAACATTTTCCGAGGCATCACACCAGGGGCTGCGGATGGTGCGATGAAGTTGGCTTGGTTCAGTACTGGCTTTTGATAGATGCCAACGGTCCTCACAGCCGTGGTGCCGGTATTGGGCTGGCCCGAGATCGGTTACAAGGTATAAGCGATCAGGCTAGGACTGTTCGGATCAGTTCATTGGAACAGGTAGAGTGAAGAAAAACTTGGAGCGCCGCAACGACTTACCTTGCTCGTCTCGTTTGATCGATCGTATCCCGGTGGACGGTCCGCTATGACCGGATTGAGCCTGATTTGCTTCCGTTGGTGAATTCGCTTCCAAGTTTCCATGTAGAGCTCATCGTCCTTTGATGTTGCCATATCCTAGTAATTGTAATAAGTAGTAGGCGCAAATGCAAGCCACTAGTACTGGTAGATAACTCGTGAGGCTTCTTAAAAGAGATCCGGGTGGCTTCAAATTTGTGTGCATGCTGTGTAAATTTGAAACCTTGTTCCGAGTGGTGCATCTTAAGCCGCCGTGTCACAGTCTCTGCCGCAGGCTCGCCAGTGCTAGTGCTCGTTTGACCTCCGTGTTGGCCAACATCTAGCGGTGTTGTCCTCGTTCCATCGGATAAAATTAGTGATACCCAGTACAATTCGCATTATAAGTTCATTCTTCATTGTATCCCCGGCGGCTACTACTGCTACTTGTCATAGTCGACGTCAAGCTGTAGAAACCAGCCAAGATCACTCCCTCATTGCGATACCCTTCTGGCTTTCTAATTCAAGTGTCCGTCACAAGTTTGTGTATAGATCGAGTACGCTCCTTCGTCCTTGTAACTGAAATCTGAACTTATTATCTACCAAAGGCCCGTCATGGCTCAACCAGGAGGACACTGGCACCCCAATCCACAACTCATGCAGCAACAACCCATGCCACAGGGTTGGCAAGGCACCTGGCCCCCACCAGCTGGTGTTGCTCTTCCTCCAAACTTTCCTGGTCCACCACCCATGCCGCCTGGCGCCAACACTCACCCACATTGGAAGGCTGGCTTTTGGCAGTACAACCCTGCCTACAACATGAATGGCGCAGGTCCCGGTGTTCACTGGGCACCCGGCATGGGGTGGGCTCAGAATGTCCCTGCTAACTTTAATCCTTACAAGCGCGTACCCCGTCCTGCAAGCCCGAGCTACTGGAGGACACAGCTCTCCGACAATGGTCTTGGTTTGGAGAACATGGTCCCTGCAAGGTACGTGCGTGATTTGGCCTTCAGATATGATCTAGCTTGAAGGACACTGTAGAACAGATCGTGATCGAGAATCTACAAGGGATGTACAAGGCGATACCGCACCACAAACTCCGTGGATATGGAATCCTCCGAGTCTTTTGTCAACGGAGGGAACAGACCGTGCTACCCCGACGAGAGACTTCAATAATCGTCGGAGCTCGCAAGATAGTATTCGGAGTAATTCGACCCCGACCAATTATGGGTTATCACAAAGAGGTTCGCAGGACAGCCATAACACTACAAGCACAAGCACACCTGTGCGAGACTATTTTTACAGTCATCCATCTTCGAGACATGGTTCCGTAGACAGCCTCGGGTCCCGCTCACAGGGGGGCTTGAGCCAACATTCTATCTCTTCGGCAACCCCGCCACCACCATCGTCCCACGGTCGTATAAATTCGATTTATTCAAGTCGGTCGTCATCGACCGCACCACAATACGTACCCCCTTTTCCAGCACCGCCATCTTCATCTTCATCTACATCAACGGCCATGTCGTCATCAACCCGCGTACAACAACCTCTTCAGGCACCCGTGTTCACGAGAGAGCCAGAGTCATTTATGACTAGGTCAGACTTTCAAACGACATCTTCATCCAATGCCGTGCGGACCCCCACACGCTATCCAGCGACACGTAGACATACCGATGAGGCTCTCGACCATCTGTCACGCTCCTTTTCAGCGCCTCAAGCGAGCGCTAGCACTGCTTCCCGTGGCCTTTCGGTGCCGGAACCCCTTTCGCGGCATCATTCACTCCCAACCACGACATCACCGTCCTCTATAGGTTCGCTGTCCACGTTTACGGAGGATATGAGTAGTGTACTGAGCCCCCTCATTAACTCTGTACAAAGATCTGCTGTTCCTCATTCATTATCACGGAGTAGGACAGAGCCTGTAATTCCGCAGGCCCATTTATCGACCATTCCAGAGTCTATGTCGTCGTCTAGCCATGAGAGCTCAGAAGACTACTTTCATCCTCTATCTGCACCTCCAGATTCTGACGAGGAATCGCCAGAATCCTCACCTTTGCGTAATCGTGTCCGTACGCGAGAGATAGAACGTGAACGGGAGAGAGATCGCGAGCGACGCAGAGAAAGGAGCCGATCGTACGAAAGAGCGAATCATCTGACGCCATACAACAATAGTTCGCGGTCCTCGAATCCTCTCCCGCCACCGCCGATGGAGCGCCCTAACCCTGTTGCGTCTGCACCGCCTCCTCAGTCCCCAGAGCCTGCGCACTATACGCGACGCATACGGAAGGGGTTCTGGAACCGACGCGGGGACTACCTCACGGCGAATTCGTACGTCGTGTATGCACCAGAGAACAGGGCGTATCCTCCGGAGTTGCAGCATTATCCCAGCGAGACGGAAGGATATAGAGATCAGTATGGTGTCTTTGTGCCGTATTTGGCGGAGAGGCCAGAGTTACCAACGAGTTTGCCATATCATGGACGGCCTCCAGCGCAGCCGTATGACAGCGTGAGTGTTGTGCATTTTTCTTCATCGATAACGTGGCTGATGGGACTTAGTTTGTTGTCTACAGTTATCATTGAGGATGGGAGGGATAATTTACTCCGAGCGATTACTGGGGTACCAGAGCATACAACAGATCTATTACATTGTATAAATAGAATCATAAATGCCACAGACACGACAGAACCCTACAAAGGATATCGACACAAGTACAACATAGTACACAGATGGTGGAACAAATGGAAAGTGACGCAAGCCTTGAGAAGAGGCATAAAATAAGATGAAACAAGACAAAAAAGAACATATCAACCAATGGGTGATCACAGAAATTCTACCCCAATGCCACCATGCTTTTCTCGCATGTGTTCATAGATACCATCTCCCTTCGGGAACGTTTCTAGACATTCCCAGCAGATGTGGGTTTGGCATCTGACGCAAGTCATGTGGTTGCAACCTTCGCTCCGTTCTATTGGAGTCCTGCAACTAGGGCAGTTTTTGACATCATGAGTGGCTGCCCATTCATGGTACAGCTTGTCCTCTGCCTTGTCCCGCTCGTCACAGGTGAGCCCATCATGAGCCTCCGTATGGCAATTAGAACAGATGCGAACCAAACAAGATGGGCATTGGAGAACGACGCCGCCAGAAGTTGCACGATATACCTGAGAGCAGTCTGGTGTTGGGCAGTGGTGGAACTCATCCGCCCGGGCGTGAACGTATGACCAAAATGACGCTTCACACAGGGCAGCGAAATCCTCATCAGAAATAATCCTTTTGGCGAGGCCGGTAGAGATGCGTTCCGTACACGAGGCGTCATCGCCCAGGCAGGTGAGGGGGAATGCCTTGTTTTCGACTGCGGACACAAGGTAACTCTCGAGGCAAGACGTGCACCAAATATGTCCGCAGGTGAGAATGGTTGGGACTGATGCTTCAGTGAAGCAAACAGGACAGACAGATTGGGGGGATGGCGTGGAGCTATCTGCATAGCGGCTTTGTACCTTTTCCACCGCTTCACAGGCGATACGGTAAGCCTGTTCGTTACCTCGAACGACCAGATTGCGCTGATTCGAGATGTAATGGACGTAGCAGTTCTCAGGACCAAGGGTCTTCTGGAGGGTCACAAGGTCTGTGCCTATAAATGGACCAACTACCCTGCCTGATAGAGGAATGCGCCACCATTTTCGCGCCTGTAATTCTTGGAACCGCGTCATGATATCTTTTCGAGCAAGCTGACGCTGTTCAATTGGGCCCAAAAGTAAGATTTTGCCCATCCGAGTTCGTAATCCAATGCCAGTGTATCGACTCTCTAGCTCACGAAGGAATGAGTAACCGGATGGTTGGGAAAAGAATCTGTCCCATATGGGTTTCCTCTGGAGAGTCACGACTTCACCATTTTGAAGTTGTTCAAATTCTGCTTTGGCAATCCCAAGATTGCTCACGTTTTCGGCCGATATCCTGATATGAACAGGCCCATCAGGCGATGTCAGGCGGTCAACAAGAGTCACGTCATGGTTGAACCTTGTCCGCCACGTCCACCGAAGGCGAGCAATGTCTTCTTGCAGCATCTTGAACTTGCTTAACGGCAATGAGAAGTTGAGTGACTGCACGTGCCGAGCAGATATGTAAGTTTTTCCTCCAATTGCACGAGGACGTTGGCCATCTAGATGATCCCTGGCATTGCTGGCATCCGCGTGGGTCTCAAAGGTTGCCCATACGAGAACAGTGCCGTTCCAGATAGGGACAACAAGATCGAAATTGGACAGATTGCCGCATGAGTGTAACATCCGAAGTATTACTTGGCGAGCGCTGTCGAGTGAGTCGTAATTGGGGCGTTCGAGTAGGATCGACTCTGCGTTGCCGAACTGCTCCAAATCCTTTCTCTCTGCATCGGGAGGAAGATGAGAAAACATGACGTTGTAAACACCAACTGCGGGTAATCCTTCGTACAAGGCGGCTGTGAGAACATTGTCCCTCATCACCAATCCAGTGGCGGCTGCAATCGCAGCCTTGGCCTCATTAAGGGTTGCGTACCCTGCGTACCCAACGCGCTGGGGCGCATTCCAGGTAATACGGACAGCGGTATCTTTGAGCACTGTGGTACGGCATGCGGTAGTGTTCAAAGTCAGCTTTGCAGTGAGTCTCCTCCCCTGGATTTGGCGTCCATGAAGGGCGACCGAAGCCTCCATAGCTTGCGCTGCAGTGGAAAACTGCACTTTGACGGTTAACCGCTTAGCACCCTTTCCGTCCGGAATACATAATTCGTCGACTTGATATACTTTCAAAAGGGAACGGAGTTGGGACTCCTTGACGTCCGGTGACACGTCTCCAAGGTGTACCCATCGTGTTTCAAATCCAGTAGTCACGTCCTGTACATCGAAACCACTACGGAGTTTCACTGTGATATGATCTGCGATTGTCACGGGTATGACAAGATCCTCATTTCGACGTGTGTTAGGGGGTGGCAGGCTGGGTGGTGGGTGTCGTGATGGGGAGTTGCCAGACGCTGGTGCGCCATCGGCACAAGTATTCCGGACTAGTGATGGAGCATTCGTTTGTGATACGTTCTAGTAGTATGTGTTAGAGAGTTGTGTATTACTAAGCTCATAGAACTCACATCATTGGGGCGTTTGTGCGAGAAAGGGCAAGGGTGACGCATGCATCGACCTTGCAACCAGTCATAACAAACTTTCAGCTGGCAGCCACCGGATGAGTGCCAGAAATGAAACCGGAGAGGAATGCACATACGTTACTGGATGCCTTGTGTCCCGTGTATTCTGGCGTAGTGATAGTCGAAGCCGCCTGAGAATGTCGTTCTGACCCACGGGATTTTGTTCCCGAAGGTGGGACTTGTATCATGGAGCACTGAGCACTGCTGGATGCGTTAGAAGATGGAGGTCGAGTTGAGTCTGGGGATATCGGGATGAGGGCCAGTTATGCTAAGGCAAGCAGATAAAATAGTACCTTGATTTATTGTGCCTCGAGTGCTGCCGTTTCGAACAGGTGCTTGACTCTTAACAGAACCTTCAGGAACTTTACCGCCCTCTCGAACTTTGCCGTTTTGTTGGTCGTTAACGGGACGGTCGGGAACTTCGGTACATCGAACAGGTAGTTGATCTTTAAGAGGACCAGCGGGAACTTGCACGCTGTCTCGAGCGTTGCCGGGTTGAACAGGCGTTTTATATTTAACATGACGGTCGGGAACTTGCACGCTGTCTCGAATGTTGCCATTTCGAACAGGAGGCTGATCTTTAACGGGACTGTCGGCAACTTGCACGACATCTCGAGGATCACCGTTTCGAATAGGTAGTTGAGTTCGCGATGTGTTCTGATACCATATGTTAGAAAGTGATATATATTACCAAACTCAAAGCACTCACATCGTTGGGACGTTCGTGCGAAAAAGGGCAAGGGTGACGTTGGCAGCGACCCTGCAACCACTTCTGACAAACTTGCTTCGGTCGGCGACCATCGGGCTTCACAGGATGAGCGCTAGAAATGAGACAGAGGAGGAATGCACATACGTTGCTGGATGCCTTGTGTCCCGTGTTTTCTGGTGTGGTATTAGTCGAAGCTGCCTGAGACTGTCGCTCTGACGCAGGGGATTTTGTTCCCGAGGGTGGGACTTGTGTCATGGAGCACTGAGCATTGCTGGTCGTGTCAGAAGATGGAGGTCGAGTTGAGTCTGGGGGTATTGGGATGAGTTTGCTACATTCGGCTAGCCATGCTAAGGTAAGCAGATAAAATACCTTGATCTATTGTGCTTCGAGCGCCACCGTTTCGAGCAGGTGCTTGACTCTTAACAGAACCTTCAGGAACTTGAACGCCCTTTCGAGTTTTGCTGTTTCGATTAGGTGGTTGGTCGTTAACGGGACGGTCAGGAGCTTGGGTACAAGTGGTGCCATTTCGAACAGGTAGTTGATCTTTAACAGGACCAACAGAAATTTGCACGTCGTCTCGAGTGTTGTCGGTTCGAACAGGTGGTTGATATTTAACAGGACGGTCCGGAACCTGCACGATGTCCCGAGTGCTGTCGTTTCGAATAGGAGGTTGACCTTTAACGGGACCATCGGCAACTTGCACGACGTCTCGAGGATCGCTGTTTCGAACAGGTGGTTGATTCCTGACGGAACTATCGGAACTCTGAGCCGTAGGTCATCATCACGCTCAAATCATAGTGGTGTCGGACTTGCCTGATGCTCGTGCATGAAAAGACACGGCGACCAACTACACTCCCCACGAAGCCAACGGTGGCAAGTGCGATTACTCGGTATTCGTTTATGAGCACGGGAGCACCACCTGCGGGCACAGACACCAGAAAGCCAGTCCAAGCACATCTCATCCTTGCCCGAAGTTGATGAATCTCTCGTATCCTGCTAGCCGAGCAGATCAATATGACTGTCAGAACTAGAGATAAACTGCTGCTCACCGTAGCCAAATTTGATGATGTTGGAGCAGTCGATTCTCCGATTGAAGGTTTCGGGCTCGACGATCGTGATCTCTCCTGAACGGATGGTAGCTTGACACTACTTGACGAAATTGAAGGTTCGGGGGTTTCTGGTTTGATTGTTACAGCTTCAAGTTCTGCAACCGAGCACTCAGGTCCAGATGACCGTTCTTTACGAGCCCATTTCTGCAATATCAATGACTAAATCAACTGTCCAGTCAACCCAAGGACATTGACTACTACCTTTGCCTTGGAAGGTGGAGGAAGGCTGACGTTAATTGACGGCATAGGTAATGCGACACCTCGACCAGCAGGCGACTGCAAACCCGGGGGTCGCTTGGGTGCTTCAGATGGTGAATTCAATGTTTGCATATGGCCGCCCAGTTTGACTCCCAGCGGTTGAGTGTCATGATGAGACATTGATTCTGTGGGAGTTGGTAGTGTTTGTGATTTATGCTTAATAAGGACCGATTAGTTCGTTCATACAAAGGAATACTTGAATCGTACCTGATCAATGCGGAGATGAGGTTCAGTGGGAGGCTGCGGGTGTGAAGCACTCGATTGGATGCCAATGTGAATGCCCTCGGCGGACAGCGCAGCCTTTAGATCTAAAATCTAACGCCCATGAAAACCTGTGGCTCTTAGGCACGTGTGATGTGGACTCACAGATGCAGGTGACTGTGGCTTCTGGTGAGACGACAATGGCGAGTCAACAATGAAAGAATTCGTGTTGGTTATTCGTCCGCATGTGGAAGATACAGGAATGCACTGCTGCTGGGGAGAGGTTGAATGGTTAAAGCTTGGATTTGGCTTACCCGTCCTATGGCACACAAATAAAGGCACTTTCAAAGAGGGGTAACAGTCTGACTCACGGTGCTGGGTACAGCTTCAGCAATCGAGGCGGAATCACATGAGGGTGTGGTTGAGGATTTTTAGAATAGGCCATAGCTGTACGATAACTGGACGGGTTGACCTGAGGTTGTCCACAAGAGTCCTGAATCTGAGTGAGTGGAGTACAATGCAGTGAATATGCCAGAAGATGTACCTTGTTACCTTTTGGCGCTACATATAATCTGGATCCTCTATCACGACCAGAGACATTGATGATGGATCCAATTGAGGGCTGTTCTTGTCCGCAAGACTGTAGTCTTTGATGTTTGGATGCATAGGTGTCCATTGTCTTGTCATGTGGGCCAATATGGCCAGTATGGCGCCTGGGTGGTGGAAATATGTGGGACTCCCTAGGGACACCGTGTGCAAGCATGACAGCTCACAACATACGACAAAGGCTGAAAGTTGGTAGAAGTTAGACGCTGGAAGCAGGATAGACCCGGTTGACGTTCCGGATATCAATGACAAATACTATTGGGGCAGAGGGGTATGGTAAATAATTATATTTATTTTCCATACGCTTATCAGAATCATTGGCAGACTTCGGCTTCGCCGATCGGGCGTATCATAAGCCTCACGGGAACGACCAGCATGATTCGTTGGGACTACTGCCGAGCAAAATAAGAATAGCTTAACATAACAAACATGAAATTGATTGGGCGACATCAACTAGCATCCACGAAAGTCACACCCTTGAGGGAGATTTGCTGCCAGGATCCTTAACCTTAGTGATGTATGGAAACCATTGTGCTTTCTGAATTAACGCAGAGTATACAGAAACATAAAGTAGTAAGAGAGAATTGCAACAGTGTTTAATAAGGGTCGGTTCGACGACAGATCCTATCGGGTATGCGAGATATGCGAGGTCCAGTAAGTCGCCGAATGATCCGTGGGTCCAGACAGTCATTCCGTTGCAGATGCCTAACATTCGAGACAGGTGACACATTCGTCTCCAGGTGAGAGTCGAGACGCCATGAACTTTCTTGCGGTTGCACCTGTTTTGAACCACGGAACTTGAATGACAGTTGACTTCTGATGCTGGAAACTGCAACACTAGTCTGCGGTAGTCACATCAGAGAAATGAAAATAACAGTTTCAAGCCTCGAGTTACCATGAGAAGTGACAGTGCCACTTCCAGAAGACGCCAGAGGAATACCAAGAGACTGGTTACAGCTTGAAAAGTCTTAAGGCCGAGCAATGACGCTAACGTAGGATGTCAGAAAAAAGAGCACAATTAATAGCAACACAAACTGGGTTCGACAAAACGCAGAAGCCACTGCAGGTTAATTAGCCAAGCTTCGTGTTTTGACTTGCGCTGAAAGGTGTCAATGAGGGCAAGGGCCGTCTGATTGATTGTTTCAAGTTCACGGTGAGTCACTTCCGTGAGCTGGGAAATCCTGTTATCAAGAAGTGAAACAGACTCTGCAACCTCTCGCTGGATCTCTTGTACATGCAATACTTGGGAAAGGGAGGTCTCCAAAGAGAATACAAGCCCTGTGATCACACTCTGCATGTCGTAAAAGGACTAGATTGCAGATGATGTCAACCTGCGACCAAAATGGAAAAAAAAACCAGTCACATTTTGCATAGCAAAGAAAGTCGCGTCAAGCGCGGACCATTTTTGCTGAACTTGATCCTGGGGGTTTAATCAGAAGAATGTTAAGGAAAGTATTCAGACGACCGCACCGCGACTGCCCGAGATTCAAGGCTCTGCTCTGACATCAATGATGCGATTGCTTCAATTTCGGCGGTCAAACGCGATTCGACGAGTGATAGTAGCGACGACAAGGATTTTGAATGCTGTGTATTCCTTCAGGAACGCTTCGAAGGCCCAGAGAATGAGAACAATACGCTTAATGTCAGGTCATCAATCCTCCGATCAACCTGGGAATGTCAGCTTTCATCGATAAGCTGTAGATAGGTTACCTTGTCCAATGAATGAATATGATCATCGAAACTGCGCTGGTTGATAAGTGACAGGGTAGTTTCCATCTTTGTGAACAGCTGCAAGGGCTTCTTCAATAACTGTATCTAAGAGATCAGAAGGTCACCTACTGATTGCGCATTTTGAATTATGGAAGTAGATGTCACATCTGCGACATCGCGTATATTACCGCTAGTCGACTTCAACACGCTGATAAGATCGCGCAGGTCCTGTGAGAAGGAATCAGCTGGCCAGTCGTGCTTATTGGGGAATTTCATTGACTGTAGATGATCGCTCCCAATTCTGGTGTGCAGCTGTGAATCCCCTTTGCTGTTCGAGAAAAAATCGAATCAGAGCAAGTTTCTCCATCGTTATGTTTCTATAGATATCCTTTGCAGTATCTAAGGGGTGAAACGTGAGATCAACAGGTACCATCTATGCTGGAACGCACCGATTTCCATCCATCGACGAAATGCGAAGCACAGCTGGGCTGATCCCAACTATTAGCAGAACAGCCAAGAAATGACCCAGCCTCACGGATTTCTCGCAGGTACCCAGAGTAGCTAGACCAAAATTGAGCGCTCCGAGAGAGTGCGCTATGTATCAATGAGCGTTCGCCTAAAGCATATCAACAGTGACGTACTCAACACAATCACCTACTGCATGATGTGGAATGTGTGATCCGACATTGTTGCTAAATGGAGAACACTCGAGAGGTGGTGTATGGTGGCGGGCTGTAGCAAGTTCACAGAGGGTGAGCCTGATAGCGACTAAAAATATCAGGAAGGTCTCAAATCGTGCACACGAGACCGAGAAACCTTCTATGCGTTCATCCTCGCTCATGTGAGATACCTCGCAACGATTTTGTGCATGCCGTGCGGCGTCTTGGAAGCAATCATTTTTACGCATATATCCATCGAATGCACCTGCAAATTATAAGATTCCTGTCCCCCATTGAATGCAAAAGATCGCGATCACCGATGCCAGTGTGTTTGGAAATCAGGTCGATCTCTTCATGGGATAGCTCAGCTAGTAAATAGAGCGTTATATATGTATAATAATACAAGAGACACAAAAGCTACCGTGCATCTGAGATGAAAAACCTTGAGTATCATGCTTAGCAGAGTGATCCGGAGATTGACGCGACCATGACCAGGCGATACAGCACCTGATGATGAATGTGAATGTCATGAGCCTGGAAGCCTTTGCCATCGGGATATTGGTATATAATTTTATGCGGGTAACATAAACATTGCACCAGGAATCGGACAAGATTACCTCAAGGCGTTCGGTTCAGAGGGCTTAGTCAGCGGGGAGCACGGACCAGCAGTCGTAAACAAAGCATCTGCGCATGACATCTAATACAAATCTATCTGGAGCACAGGACCCCAAGTACTGATGCTCATCTCAGGTTGGTGACGATGAATTCCATACATGCTATCGCTGGGCCAGAGTTGAAAATGGTAGATAGTTGCAAAACACATCACAGGCTCACCGGAGGTCGAGGATGTGTGGTGGACTGGTGGTGTAAGTACGCCTCCGGTGAGGTGGTCTTCAGATTTTGCAATTCTGATAGTAAATATAAATAAATATAAATTATGTAATATCGCTTACATATTTATGCCTCGCGGAGTTCCATAATTAAAAGTCGGTGCTGCCGCCGAGTCATGCTGAGGCACGAGGCAAAATATAGTGCGTACACTGCATGCACGCATGGTCTCCACCGGAAAACTACTAAATGGTTGGCTGTGGGCTCGCGCGCTGATCTGGGTGAAACTCGATCGAATTTGTAGGCTGTACAGTTGGAGATTTTTACGTTTGTGAAAAGCCTATATCCGCAATATTGAATCTTGCTGACCCGATCTGAGTCCAGATAGAAATGACTAGTGCACAGGCCATCACAATGAGCATGCACATGAGTATGTATAACGTTGACGATCATCAAGTCGCACAATGCAGTTATTAGAGTTCTTTGCAGACTACTCTCCGCGTGGTGATTCTGATGAATTGATGAATGGCCCTTACACCCATATCGGCTTACTGCTCTTGGTTCATTCTTGGTTCCGACTGTCCTTATACTACTCGATGGTTCGTCCCGATGCAGTACTAGTATAGCTCATGTGTTTTCAGGGGTTTTTCTTGCAAAGTTTGCCTGCTGTTTGGCTTGCATCCTCAATGAAGAACAATGTTCTCCTTGCAATGAGCCCAGTGATGTGGAGCAATATCCTTGTTATTATGATGCCCTCTGCTATCCACCATATCATCTTGCATTTTTTATCACTAACCGAGATGGTTCTACTAGTACAGCGAGGAAATTTAAAAAACACAATTTATCAGCCCTCTTGAATAATGTCCTAGCTGAATGTGTTTGTTGTCTTTCTGTTTTGCGAGGAAGACCAAAAGGACTGTGTGCGTACGTGCAACTTTCGCTTTCAAGAATAACGTTCTCGATGGTGTGATCAAGGTGTGATGCTTGATAACGCAGGAATCATTGAAGATCCTTCTGACTCGACTACAATGAATGTGCCAATTGTTTTACTATTTTATCGGGGAACTGTGTTCCCCGTCTTGCACCAGCGAATAACTTGTATCGTGAACTTCTGAAATATTTCGAAGATCTTACTGGAGTTCAAGAGAACATCTACGCGATATACAGTACCACTGCTGTTGTTACACGCTTATTCCAGTCGTCAGATCCGTTGCAGCCAAAAGTCTGACAGTAATATTTGCGCTCATGATCATATTGAATATCGTGTTGACTGCTTCTGTGTTTCCTCAGATGTACTACAATTATCTGCGAGTCTTATCTTATCTTAGTGTCTTCATGTGGAGTCGGGGGCTGGCACAGCCAAGCGCCGCTACGATTCTAGTATGTACCTTCTATATTCCTGGATAAACTCTACCATATGTATTGTATATATTGTTTTGCGCGTTCCCAGCTTGTCGTCGGCAATCATAGCCACTCCACAGTCTAAAAATGAAATCAACCTTGACTCTGGTGAGACGAAGCGACAGGACTTACAGCAGGAGGCTTGGAAGATATATCATAAGTGACACGATTGATCCCACTCACTTCGTTTGTGATGCGGGACGATATCCGACGCAAAATCTCGGGAGGGAATGCATACCTGAAAGATCAAGTTAGTATTGAACAGGATCAAAAGTAAGATAAAGCCCACCAATCCGCAGTCATGAAGTCTTCCGATGTCACCGCTCTCAGAGCAATTACCTGTGAAATACGTTGAGACAGCGAACAAGAGAGAATACTGTCCTCCAAACCTGTTCGTATGTGCGCTTGTCACCCATCACACCAACAGCCTTCACAGGAAGCAAGATGGCCATGGCCTGGCTAATTTGATTGTAGAGATTCGCCTTGCGAATCTCCTCGATATAGATATGATCTGCTTGCTGCAGGATTTTCACTTGTTCGCGTGTGACAGGACCCAAAATCCGAATAGCCAGACCAGGACCCGGGAAAGGATGACGTTGAACCAAGGGTGCTGGTATCGAC